GGGCTGAGCCGCCCGCCCGGCGCCATCGCCATGAAGGATCACGACGCCATCAAGCTCTTCGTGGGGCAGATCCCGCGTAACCTGGAGGAGAGCGACCTCAAGCCGCTCTTCGAGGAGTTCGGCCGCATTTACGAGCTCACCGTCCTCAAGGATCGCTTCACCGGCATGCACAAAGGTACAGGGGGCTCCGTGCCCGCCGGCGCGGTGCGACCAGGCGGGGCGTCCTGAGATGGGACACCCTGAGGTGGGGGTACCCCTGAGGTGGGGGTACCCCTGAGGTGGGATGCCCTGAGGTGGGGCAGCCAGGTATGGGGCACCCCTGAGGTGAAGACACCCCTGCGATAGGAAACCCTGAGGTGGGATGCCCTGAGGTGAAGCAGCCCAGTATGGGGCACCCCTGAGGTGAGGTACCCCTGAGGTGGGACGCCCTGAGGTGAAGGCACCCCACCCCTGAGGTGGGACACCTTGAGGTGAGGCACCCAAGTATGGAGCACCCCTGAGGTGAGGTACCCCTGAGGTGGGGCACTCCTCATCTGGAGGTACCCGTGAGATGGGGCACCCTGGTACGGGGCAGCTCTGAGGTGGGGGCACCCCTGAGGTGGGGGTAGACCTGAGATGGAGGTACCCCTGAGGTGGGACACTCTGAGGTGTGGCAACTCTGAGGTGGGGCATGCAAATATGGGGCACTCCTGAGTTGAGAGACCCCTGAGGTGGAGGTAGCCTTGGTCTGGAGGTACCCATGAGGTGGGGTGCCCCATACACCCCTCACATGAAGGTACCCCTGAGTTGGGGGCACCCTTGAGGTGGAGCACCCTGAGGTGGAGGTACACCTGATGTGGGCCACTCTGGTATGGGGTACCCCTGAGGTGGAGATACCCCAGTATGGTGTACCCCTGAGGTGGGGGCACCCCTCAGGTGGAGATATCCCAGTACGTGTCACCTGCTCCCAGTATGGGGCACCCCAATATGGGGCACCTCTGATGTGAAGGTACCGCTGAGGTGGAGGCACCCCAGTATGAGTCACCCTGGTATGGTCACTCCGGTATGGGGCACCCCTGAGGTGGGGGTACCCCTGAGGTGAAGGTACCCCTGAGGTGGGGGCACCCGTCTAAGGTGGATGCACCCCTGGGTTGTGGACACCCACCTGAGGTGGGTGCACCCATCCGGGGTTAGAGGAGCTGCCGTCCAGCTCGGAGGCATCCCTGGGGTCAGAGCACGCCAGGGCTGAGAGCACCCCAGCAATGTTTAGGGCACCCACCTGGGTTGGTGGCACCTGTCTGGCATCGGAGCACCCACGTGAGGTTTGGGCACCCCTGGAGTTGGAGCACCCCTGGGATGGAGGCACCCAGCTGGGATACAGGGCCTTGGAACGGATAGGGGCACCCACCTGCCTGGCCCCCTGCCTGTGCCGTGCCCTAGGCCTCTGTGACCCAGCAGGACCGGGATTGCTGACGGCCTGGCTGGCATCTTGGCACGGGGCGCAGAGCACCCAGCACCCCGAACAGTGGTGCACTGAGGGGCTCATGCGTGCACCACCAAGTTCTTTATCGAACCTCCCACCCATGAGCTGGGGGTCTGCAGTGCTGGAGTGGGTACCTTGGGTGTCTCCTGGATGGGTTCTCGCGCTCCTCTGTATGCTGCTGCTAAGCCCCTGTGCCGTGGGCAGCGCCCGCTTCGCTGGGACTTTCTGGGAAGCCGAAACTTGACACTTGTGGATGCCACCACGTTGGTTCCCTTTGGCCATGGGGCGGCTGCCCGGACTCCTTCGTTCTCAGCACTGCAGCCTTCAAAATGTCTCCAGGTGCCTCTGAAGCTGCTTCGCATGCCCTGAACAATAGCATTCACACCTTGCCGGGCCCTCCAGCGCTTCCTCCAGTGTGGGCTTCAACCACTGCGGCCCAGACATGAGATTTAATTGAGATGGACACTCCTCTAATTTGAACGGCATCTTTCCTCCTTGCTCCACTCCAGCCCTCCAAACTTCTCTGGAATGCCCAGGCACCATCCACATTGTAGCCTGCAGGGAAAAAAAAAAGGGGGAAAAAAGAGCAGAGAGGAGGAAGCCAACTTGATTACAGATGGTAAACACTGGAAATGGCACCAGGACTGACGTGAGCCACTGCACTGACCTCCCCTTTCCACCCGCAGCGGGGCTGATATTTAACTGGGAGGATCTCTCCTTGCTCCCTGTGATGGCAGATGTCCCCAATATCTTGTCCCCAACAAGGCAGGCAAGGGTCCCCATCCCTCAGCATCCCCCCGCCCCACTGCCACGCTCCCTCTCCTCCCAGGCACGCTGATTGTACTTATTAAGAGTTATTAATACTTAATCAGCTGGCGGATTTAATTGTGCCAATATTAAAAATGCATCAATGTCAATTTTATTCATTAAATATTTACTTTGTTGAAGGGAAACTGTTTTGCTGCTGTTTTAATATCACTTTCAGATGCTTTTGGATGTGACCTCAGCAAATCAGGGGGGAGCCCTTGGGGAGGGAGCAGCACGGTGGCGGCATGGGGACCCGGGATGCTCCCACGGGAACAGGAGAGATGGAGGGGAGAGGACTGGACCTCGTCCCCGGGGCTCACTAGTTGCCGCCAGCTCCGGGCGAGTGAGCGGCTCGGCAGCGTGAGTCAGCGTGGGAAAACCTCGCCCCAGGCGTATTGCCGATTCCCGAAGCGCTGTGATGTCGGAGGAGCCAGAGCGCCTTCACCACACGAGTCTCATACCAAGGAGGATGCTCGGGACCGGGAGAAGCGTGGCGGCAAGCTGGGATGTGTGGCCTCGATGCCTGAAGATCTGCTTCCCGGAGGGCTTCAGCTGCGGCTTTCCCTGGAGCCTGGAGCTGGAGCGCTGCTCCCAGACTTGCTGCCTGCTCTTGCTTTGCTCTTTCCTTCATCCCACTGCTCCATCGCTTTTGTATCAACATCTCCCACCCCATTTCGGGGCTGAGCTCTGGCCCTGCTGGTGGCGGTGCCCCCCTGGGTGCCAGGGTGCCAGGGTGCTGAATGCCACAGTGCCAGGGTGCTGGGGTGCTGGATGCCACAGTGCCAGGGTGCTGGATGTCAGGGTGCCAGGGTGCTGGGTTCCAGGGTGCTGAGACACCCCAGCGCTGTATTAGCTGTGCTGTCGGTTCTCTGCATGCCCGGGACTTTGCGGCAATGCCGGGACGGACACTGACCCCGTCTCCCCATCTCTGCAGGCTGTGCCTTCCTCACCTACTGCGCCCGCGACTCGGCCCTGAAGGCGCAGAGCGCCCTGCACGAGCAGAAGACACTGCCGGGGGTAAGTGACACCTGGGGGTCGGGGTGAGCTGGCAGGGGGGGACGGTGACACCTACCCAGGGTGTAGGCGCAGGAGCCACTCCAGTGGCCGCAAACCGAGGCATTGATTTTCCTGCCGCCCGCATGCTGTTGTGCTTTCTGTGGGCTCCGACCTCCCGAGCTTAACAAAGTGAAAATAAATATTTAATTATTCGCCTAAATAAAAATCAATAGGGCCGCCGGTTGGCTGGGGAAAGCACTGGGGCCCATGAATATCAATTCCTGCTTCGAGTGTGTGGAGCTGACGGAGGGGGATGAGGTTCGCGGGGACGTGGCTTCCTGAGCCACGCTGTCGCTAGCGGTGCTGTGCATCAGTAGGTTTAAGAGTTAACAGCCCACTTCGGCAGCCTCAAGGAGATGTGGAGTCAGGCCCTGCCTGCGAGGCATGGGCTTGCCTGTGTCTCCTTCTCATTGCACACACCCATGTGTGTACACGCATGTGTGCGAGGTGTACGGCTGCTGTAGCTGCTCACTTCTCACCCCACACCCCAGCACGGGGCGAGCACAGGCGTGCGTGTGTAAGCACACGCTTGCATGTGGGCGTTTGGGCATGTGCCCCTGCGTGGGCACACGTCTGTGCGCACCACTGTGTGCGTGTGTGCACACAGTGGTGCGTGGGTGTGCATCCGCCAGGGCGCATAGCTGCGTCTGGGCAGACGTCTGTGTGCGCACACCCCTGTGCTTGTGCTTACACCTCCGTGTGCTCGCCCATCTGTGCCTATGCACGCCCCTCTATGCTTGTGCACACGCCCCCGTAGCTGTGCACACCCCTGTGTGCTTGTACATGCACCCCTGTGCTTGTGCACACTCCTCTGTGCTTCTGCACGTCCGTGTGTGCTCATACTCACACCCCTCTGCCTGTGCACACCTCTCTATGCTTGTGCACACCCGTGTGTGCTTGTATACACACCCCCGCGTGCCTGTGCACACCCCTCTGCTCTTGTGCACAGCCCCTATAGCTGTGCACACCCCTCTCTGCTGTGCACACCCGTGTGCTTGTACACACACCCCTGTACCTGCGCACACCCCTACGGCTGTGCGAACCCCCTGTGCCTGTGCTCGCACCCCCGCGCTCCG